GAGATTGAGAAGCAGAATCTGGGCAAGGTAAATAAATATTCATATCTGTGATCAACTGAAAGTGTGTTTAATTTTTACAATCATATATACCACTAACCTAAATCATCACTATTCCTTTGAAACTAGTCAAATTAGCTTTGGACGGGAGTGGAGAACACATGAAATAAAACTCATTGCTATCTTGGTGGAGATGTCTTGAGTTTAGAGGGGTTTTGATTCTGTACAGTCATATAGTCAAAGATATGAACGACGGGTCAAAGACTAGGGTGAAGACTCTAGGTGGTGACTTTGCTCCTTTCCCTATAGAGGTGGGGTTATTGTTGGCCAAGTGTGCAACAATTATCCCATGGCGGAGGCTATGTGGGCAGTGGGCCAAGTCACAACTGAATGTTGTGGGTGCTTGTGTGTGCAGAATGCACTTTAAAGCTAGGGTATGCGCTTCTTCTAACACCAATTGGTTTTAGAAGAGTTGGTAGCGCCTGAGATCCTACAAGTGATATCGGAGCCAATGTCACGAGTTCGATTCCGAGCGGGAGCAATTGTTGAGGGGGAGGGGGATTGTTGGCTATGTGTGCATCAATTGTCCTGTGGCGGAGGTTATGTGGGCCAAGTCACAGTCGAATGCCGTGGATGCTTGTGTGTGCCAAATGCACTATAAGGCTAAATGATGCGCTTCTTCTAACATTAATTGAACGCCAGTCACACCAGGAGTCTACTCTTAGTGCCTTCCTGTTCACCTTGGTGATGGTCTGATGGATGTTCCAACGCGGGATGTCCAAGGGGAGGTTCCATGGTGCATGCTCTTTGCTGATCAACGAGACACATGCATTGGAATTGTGGCATCAGTCCTTGGAATCTAGAGGCGTCAGACGGAGCAAGACTAAGACCGAGTATTTAGAGTGTTGCTTCAGTGGTCGGGTTACGGATTCAGAAGTGGAAGTTATGATTGATTCTCATCCAGTTTCCAAGAGAGATAATCCAGTATATAGGTTCGATCATTTAGACAGACGGGTAGATAGACGGGGATGTTGTTCATTGTATTGGAGCTGCTTGGGCTAAGTGGAAGTTTGCCTCGGGGGTCCTGTGTGATATGAAGATCTCAACAAGGATGAAAGTTAAGTTCTATCAATCAATGGTCACACCGGCTGTGCTTTATGGATAAGAGTGTTGGGCAGTCAAGATAGCCCATGTTTGGCAACTACACGTGGCAGAGATGCGGATGCTAGTGGATGTGTGGGAAGACGAGGTTGGATATGATTCGTAATGAGGTTATTCGGGGACGGGTGGGAGTGGCACTTGTGGAGAAGTTGTGAGAAGCCACGTTGAGATGGTTTGGTTACGTGAAGCAACGTAGCATGGAGGCCCCGCTGCAGAGATGTGAAAGACTTGCGATAGTGGGTGGGGGTGGGGGGAGGGGTAGACCTAGAGAGAATTGAAAGAAAGTGATTTGGCAGGATTTATGACTTGTAGCCCTTACCGAGGATATGACTTTAGATCAAAACGTCCGGAGAACTAGAACTAGGGTAGCTGGGTAGTTCTTTGGACCGGGGTGGTTGTTTTTGTTCTCGTTGCAGTGTTTTTTTTTGGATCTGGTGTCTTTTGCATTGTATCTGTTAGTGTGTTTTTTCCTATTTGCATTTTGCTAACTTTAAGTCTGCTCTTTTTTTGCTTGTTTATACCATTCGCTCTTGGATTGTTTTTGGTGTTATGTGCTGTGTTTGTTTCTCGAGTTGGGGGTCTGTTGGAAACAGCCTCTCTACTATCCAAGTAGGGGTAAGGTCTGCACACACACACCCTCCCCAGACCCTACATGCCTGGGATTTTATTGGGTTATTGCTGTTGCTGTTGTTATCTTGGTTAGATTTTTACCCCCCTCCGTCCTGAAGCTGTATTTTCCCCAAGAATATGTGGTGGCAATGCCCTGTTTATAAATGTGAATGTTACTGTATCACCAGGACTGGGAAATGCTATGTAAAAGCTGGATCTCATTAATGCTTCCTTTAGAATCTAACTTGATTGTCTTTTGAACATTCTTTTTTGTAATTTTGTAAATTAATTAATCATATAATGTGCTTCACCCATTTGTACATGCATAATGACTAGTATTTATTGGTTCAATATCGGGCACCATTGCTATGTTATTATTGCAGACTACTCACCAAGATGCCTTAGCACATGTGGATAACAGCCCCCAGTCTCTTTTGGCATTTGTTGGGACTGACAATGTCCATGCGTTGTATGATTTTCTGTTAAACTATAGGTGTGCCTCTTTTATTTAATACTAATTACTAGCAGTACCCTGTCTCTGGCAATTATTCCTATGGTTTTCGTGTTGTTATCTGTTGTTTCTGTTTGCAGATATTTTTTAGCTTCTTTGACTGGAATGGATGTGCCTATGCTGTATTCACCGCTGCCTTTCAAAAATGCAGCTCTGTCTGTACCTGAGGTTGGTCTAATCAAAATGTTAAAGTTTGTGACTATTTTGAATGCATTCATTTGGATCAACTTCTATTTTTTTATGTTAATGGTTATAATAAGGGTGGTGTTCTTTTTACACCAAGCTTTGGGTCATAATATGACACCAATGGCAAGTTTTGGGGCCTCCCGGTGCTTTTGTGGGCTCCCAACTCATTCCTATCCCACCCACCCACCTCCCTACCCAAACCCCTCCCTCAGCCGCCATGCTGATGCGGATCACCCCTGTGCAACCAACACCCCCTACTCTGCACCCCTAAATCCGGACGCGGGCCCAATGAAGCAACTTTGGGCCCCCAAATGGAGTATTATATTTTTTTTACACTCAAGACCAATGTCAAAAGAACCATGCTGAAACATTGATAAAGTAACATTTTAGACTTTTAAATTGAAACACCAAAAATCTGAGCCCTATTTTTGTTCTTGTTTTTTGAGTATCAAGATGGGGCTATTGACTCTGATCTAAATTGTTGCAGGTAAGATGTAAAGAAGTTAGGAGAGCTGACCACATGTCAATCCCGTCAAAGGACTCTATTAGAGCTGGAGAACCTAGTCTGAGGTGTTCTCCAGGTATATGTTACAGCATTGAAATTAAGGACCGATATCTCCCACCATGGATAATTAGCAGCATTTGCCATACAGTTTGTTCTCATGGCACAAGTTTTGAGGCAAGGTAAGCATGATAATTTTTAAGCGATCACTAGACCCTCAATAACTCCAGTTGATTTATCATTATTATGTTATTCTATGGCTTGCATACTAAGGGTAGATTGCCTGTACCACAAACACTAGTTGCATTTGGATACAACTAATCCAAAGTTACTGAACCCTTGGGTGGAAGGATTTTCCACACGGTTGGCTGTACCATAGGGGTTGTCAGTGCAACTGCCAACCCACATAACCACCCAAATAATCTGTAATTTAGTTGGTTAGTTTGCTTGGTTTTACCGTCTTCAAAAGAATGTTAGATGGTTTGGTTGGTGGGCTAATGTGAAATTACTTAACCTAGCCAACCTAACCACTAGCATTTCATATAATACGGAGTATTAACATATACTCGAGTATCAAGTTTGTAATTGTTAGAAGGCCATTAATAACGCCACACTAAACATAAGCATGTTCATTATTTCTATGGAGTACAGTTAGACTTGATTTTTCAAATGGCTTTAAATTTTACCAAAAACATTTGCACACTTTTGTTTATAATTTGGGCTGATTTTATTCAATACAACACCAACATTACCTCAATGCCTCAAAGGCTCACATGCTCCTGCCCATTGTAGGGTAGGAGAAGGAGGGGGCAGATATATGCAGCTTGACCCCTATGTTTAAAACATGCATGGGCCTTTTCTAGATCCCATGATGAATGTTAAAAGTTGCATTGATTAACTGCTACTTCACTACTAAGGGTTTGTTCATTTGGGTTGGAAAAATTAACTTCTAACTTTTTTGAACTTCGAGTTCTTCCAATTCTTTCCATTTTCTTCCAACTTCTACTAGTTTCTTCCAATGATTAAAATAATGTATTTACATATGATGAACATACAATAACGTCATATATCTAAATGTATAACATACCACCTCAAACGTAGACAAATATGGATTCTTGTTTTATCCAAAATTAGTTTTCTTACATATTTATTTGGGTGATTATTGAATCGAGTGTTTTTCTAACATTTTATTTTTTTCAACATTTTCCTACTCTTTCCAATTTTTTTCAACTCCTTTCAGTTTCTTCCAACTTCTTCTAGTATCTTTCAACATCCAATTATGTTTTTACAACCCAAACGAACAGAGCCTAAAAGAAGCGCAGACAGTTTAAAAAGGCATTTTGCTTTATTACATCATACCCCAAAGCCAAAAGAAAAGTGAATCATTGGCTCCATTGGAGATGATGGAAAAATATTGGATAAATTTTAGTTTGTCAAACTAATTGAGAAGATGGCCCTAACTGTTAAAACTGAGTTGTAGATGTGGTTTGCTCTGGTTAAACTTGATCAATGGTTTGGATCAGAGTTTTTAAATCGATCCATTTCTGAGTAAATCAATGGAATGACTTGACTTGGAAGGAAATTGATTTGAGATGCTAAATCACAAACAAGTGCAGTAACTGCAAATTTGACCTCAATTTGAAGGTAAAAATATCAGAACACATATCGCCTAAATTGTTTGGGTTGTGTCTGAAATTGGTCAACCCTAAAGCCAGTCCATTGAATTAAATTTCCTTTAAATATGTAGTCAAAGAGACTCAAGTTGCACAACTTCATTTTTTTCGCTTTCTCCGTACTTAGCTTTGGCGGTAAACAAGGCAACCGCAAATAATGTCCAACTCCATGGCGCAAAAACCTGGAATTTTTTTATGCATTTCTAGTTCAACTTATCCTCTCCAAAAGAGACAACCCTGGGCTTCACATGATACCTAACATGCTTGCTCTCACCCGGTAAGACAGTGACCAACCAGGCAACCTTGACTTGGCAGGAAGTGGCCATTGACAAACTGCTAGCTGAAGAGAGTACACTGTTCTGTTGCATGCCTTAACCACGTCAACAACTCCTTGTTATCCTTAATTGTTTATTATTATTATTTGGGTGGTGCTAAATCTACACCTCATTTGGCTAAATCCACTTCATGTATAAGAAATGGACAACTTTGCCCTTTCACCTCCACTACCACCACCACCATTATTTGTTTTTTTTCTGTGTATTTGTGCTGACTGCTAAAGCATGCGATACTGGGTTTTTTGTATTAAAAGAATGGGCTTTTTGAAGGGATGATGGTTTTTTAGTTACTAAAAAAATATTTCATACTCCGTATTTTTTAACACTAAAAGTCTCACAAGTGTATGTTGCATTCTATTTGTGATATCTGAATCTTATAGCATTGTTAAATCTTGTGCACTTTTATGTTCTGTGTTAAAGCTGTGTTAAACAACTTCAAAATTAAAATGTGTTTCTATGGTTTCTGCTTGTTAAGTTGTTTTGGATCATTTTTCTCCAAAATCAGCAATTTGATTTTGAATCAAATCCGACATAAGTTGGTTTGATGGTTTTGGGTCGGGCAGAAACAAAACCAACACACCCCAACCCATACTTTTTACCATTTAAAGCTGACTTCATCTGTTATCTTTTGTACCTGTTTAGTTTGATTACAAATCTCTGTGAAAAACCATCCAAAACGTGTATTCTAATTCATTTCGTAACCTCTGCAGTTTTGTAACAGAGCCAGCGTCGATTGGGTTGAATGTTGGCTCCCGTGCTGCATCTAGTGATTGTATAGATGCAGAAGCTTCTTCAAATGACGAATCAAAAAAGACTATCTTTTGTTTTGGGGTACCAAACACAACAGTTTCATCTCATTTGCAATCTGCCTTTTTGAAGGGATTGAAGTATGATGGCAACACTTACACAGCTTTGCTTTCACCTATATAAGTCATCATCAGCATCAACTGCTACTATGCAAATGTGGAGCGAATGCATTTTGAAATCACTCAAGTTCTCTTCAGCCACTCTATGGCATTTATTTGCAACGCCTTCTAACGGCCACGTGCCCCCTTTGTGGAACATCAAACTCAATTCTCTGTAAAGGTTCAATTTGAACTGCAGTGTATGTATGATCTGAAGAGCTTAATTGAGAACTCAAGAAAACATCAACCCATTAACTTATTACGACGGAGAGTTTCTCATCACATCCTTCGTTTCCCACCTCCTTGTAGTAGTCCAAGTTTGGTTGGAGTTATTATGGTTTTAGAACAAGGTAAAGTGTCTGGTTACCTTAGAGGCTGGTCAACTAGTAATTTGTTGCTTTCATTGTCTCGATATAAAATGCATGTTATCTTTTTTTTTATCACAGTTCAAGGAAATTGAAAGGGAAAATAAAAGAAAAAGATATGAAAATAATTAATTTTGTTAGCTTGGAGCGAAAAAAGAAAAAGGAAACTGAATGGAAAAGGAAAAGAAATTGAGAGGAGAAATAGCAACCTAGTTGAGAGAAGAATATAAAGTGAAAACGAAAAACTTATCTTTTGTTTTGGCGAGGAAAATGTTAAAGATATATCTTTTCCTCTTTTTTTTTGAATCCATGAATCAAATATAATACAGGTTTTCCTTATTTCATTTTTATAAAAGGCAATGTGGACAAAACAATGATTGAGGGATGAAATGACATTATTATCATTAATTATTTACCTAATAACATTTGATTCATCCTCAATTCAATATGGGGCGTACAGAAAAAACATGCACAAATGTTATGGACAAAGGAAAGAGTCTACTCTTCTCGACATGGGCGTAAGCCCTTTTCTATAAAAGCCCGCCCACACGCATAATAGTTTGTTTGGATGGGGAGAGAAAATGAAAGCAGCACTGCCTCAACCATGCCAAGAAGTAAGTCACCCGAAATACAACAACAACAACAGTTGGATCCCACAATAGGAGGGTCCACAAATAAACAACGCTGATGAATAAGACATTTCAGAGTTGAGTGCTTGAAAGACATCTCCACTGGCCCACGCACGGCCCTTTGTTTAGTAGCATTAGCAATCCTGCATTGTTGTTTGACAGCCCATACCCGTACCTATACACACACAGAAAAATAAACAGACACTACACAAATAATTACACTGTTTTTTGTCCTCTTTCTTTCTATAGCAATAATTGCACTACTAAAAACATTTCACAATGGGGGAAGAGGCAGCACACCACCTATATAAACTTCACACTGATCCTCCACATATTTACCCATAGTGCCGATTCTCCATGTGGTATAAACCTAGAGTCTAAAACCGTGCATGCCAGTCACACACATGGGTATACTTTACCCGTTTTAAGTGACTCATCATCCATTTATACTCATGGGGCGGCAGAGAAGTCATCCCCATTGCCCATGATTGGTACTCACTCCATCTCTTTTGAAGCTTTTCATTTGATTTTTCACAGTTTTTAATGCAACATTCTGACCATCAATATCTATAGATATTTATTACTCGTATAAAAATGTAATATTTCAAAACTAAATTACCAATATTTAATTTATATCACAATTCAATATATTTTTCCATAATTTGTGGTTAATGTTTAAGAAAGTTTACCCTGAAAGCCAAAGGATTTGTTTGGGAACAACATTTTCAATTAGCGTTAGCGTTTTGTATAAAATTTTAATGGTGTAGATTAATTCTGAAAACGCTAAAGGTAAAAGACTCCAGTTAGACAGCCTTTTCAAAACTCTAGCGTTGTCAAATGCGGCCAAATTGGAAAGATTGAAAAAGGAGAGAGGGAGAACATTGTGAAAAAATCCATTCCCGCCCCAAGTGCGAAGGACATTGTCAGCAGCTCC